TCGGGACTCAGGCCGCCCTGCCTGCAGGCCGGGGCCTCCCCCCGGGGTCTGCCTTCTGTGCAGGAAGGAGGGGACCTGGATGGGGGCCTCATTCGCCCCCAGGGGTCCCTCCCCGGAGGAGGGTGGGGGCTCGGGCGCCGGTCCCTTCTGAGGACGAGCTCCCCGCTTCTTCCAGCCGTGCCACACCCCGTGTCCCAGCAAACCCTCCTTCGCGTGGGAGCCAAAGCCCAGATCTGCTGCCTCCGAGCGGACACCCTTAAACTGACCAATCCGAGCAGGAAACTCGGGGGACCCGGGGTCCGTGGGACCCAGAACCCCTTCCTCACAGCGCTCCCCACCTGAGTTCAGCGTGAAACCCGCTGCTCTGTCCCGGGTCCCGGCTGCGGTCGGTGCGCAGGAACCTGCTCAGACACGTGTCCTGGCTCCGGAGGCTCCGGAGGCAAACTCGGGCCAAAGAGCCGAAGCCTCAGCAGTGTCAGGGCCAGGAGACGCAGAGCGAGTGGCCGCAGGCAGCCCTCCCTCCCTGCAGGCACAGCCTCAGCGCACACGCACTTCCACGTCCTCTCCGGCCACCTTCTCAGGGTCAGTGCAGCACGCCAGGGCCAGGGCGGGAGCAGAGCTGGGCACAGGCTCACCCGCAGGACAGTCTCAGGTGGGACCCGCAGCCACTGCTCCCCACCTGGCGGACGCGGGACTCGGAACGTCTGCTCCTGTGCCCGACCCCCTTCTGTCCCCAACAGGGAAACACACACTCAGAAGAGACCCTGTGGAGACAGACCCATGGCTGAGCGACGACCTATGAACCGGGAGGTCGCGGTTTGATTCCCGGTCGGTCGGTCGGTCGGTCGGGGCACAGGCCCGGCTTGCAGGCTCGATCCCGAGTAGGGTGCGCGCAGGAGGCAGCGGTCCATGATGCTCTCACCACTGGCGTCTCTCCCTCTCCCTGGAGACGGGGAGCGGCACCCCGAGCTCTTCCAGCCTCGGCCCTCGGACGGTCTCTGCCCTCGGGGTCCCAAACCATCTTCCTCGTCTTCAGAAATGGCTGCCCGCACACAGGCTCACTCCTCCTTCCCACAGCCCCTCACGCACGCCTGCGCCCCCTCTCCGCCTCGGGGACTTCACGGGAGAGGCCTGTGCTGGTCGTTTTCTCTCGTTAATCGCAGTCCCCGCGGGCCAGACGGGGCAGTTCCTGTTGCTCCATCTCCAAGTTAAACAACTCTTCTCTCCTCTCCCTTCTGCGGTGACTCCACTCAACGAATTCGATTTAGTTTTCGTCGTGAAATTTCTAATGTTAAGTTTACGTCTAATTTTCCATCTGTTTCAAGACTGTTCACCCTCACTTCTCAGAGCAAGAGAAGAAAACCCTCCAAGCAGAGGCCTCAGCAGCCCCTGTGGGCCCAAGAGGGTGGGCGACCCGTTCACAGGAAACATCGCACGCGCACTCTCCCCGAAAGGCGGCCTCCAGAAACCGAGAACGACGGCTCCTCCGCACGCGACCTGCCTGAGGGGAACCTGGGAGGAGCCCTTCGAGCTCCAAGGGAAGGGACGACGTGAAAATGTAGACGCCCGTCAAGGTGAGGACATCGTCAAGTCATGCATCGCTTAGCAACGGGATTGCGTCACTGCGTCAACATCGGATGCACTTACACAAGCGAGAGGCCGCCCAGGGCACACCAGGCCGCTGCTCTATACAGCCCAGCTCCTCCTGCAAACCTGCACGGCAGGTTATCGGACTGAACGCTGTAGGTAATTGCAACACAACGGCAAGTATTTGTGGATGTAAACCTACCCAAACATAGAAAAGGTACAGTAAATACATGGTATAGAAGACAAAGTGTGAGTGTGAGTGTGAGTGTGTGAGTGTGTGTGTGTGTGTGTGTGTGTACACTGGGGAGCAAGGGGAGGGCTGAGGAGGGAGGCACTGTCAGCGGGAGATCAGGAGGAGGGAAGGAGGGAGAGGGAGAGAGCAGAGATCAAAAGAGACCCAGAGAGCTAAAACTTGAGAAATAATGAAAGGGACAGGGAGGGAGGGAAGGAGGGACAGACACACGGACACACACACACACACACACACACACATGACCAGCAGGGGGGCGCACCCGGGCACCCCTACTCTCCAGCCCTCCCTCACAACTCCCGGCCCCTGCACAGGTGAACAGCAAGCTGAGCCTGGTCTGTGAAACCGCCCGCAGCTGGCAGCAAACCCAACCTCGCGGCGAGGCCGGGCCTTTACCTACAACATGACAGACCGTTTGCTCATAACCCGTGACCTCCGAGACCAGCCTCGCGTGCAGGGCCTGGTGGCCGACACAGCGCTACCCGGCATTACATGGTGGTGTGCTAACCACTTTCATGTAAAAGTTAAAGGACAAAAGTGTTGAAAATCACTATGGCTACAATAATTTGTTAACGGAGACACAATACAAAAACATGTAAATTGTGCCCTATCTGGTTTGGCTCTGCAGACGGAAGCGTTTGGGGTTTGATTCCAGTCAAGGGCACATGCCTGGTTGTGGGCTCCATCCCCAGTGTGGGGTGTACAGGAGGCAGCCGATCCATGATTCTCTCTCATCACTGATGTTTCTTCTCCCTCTCCCTCTCCCTTCCTCTCTGAAATCAATAAAAATCTATTTTAAAAAATAAAATCAGTAAAAACATATTTTTAAAATGTAAATTTTGACATCTATGGGTGATAAAAAACAGAGACTTTTTGTAAAATTAAGGTCTTAACTTAAAATAGATGGTTGCAACTATAGATGTTCTGTGTAACTCATGGTAACCACAAAAGAAAAAATATAGCAGCTACACAAGAGATAAAGAGGAAGGAATCAAAACATTCAATCGATTGACGTTACCAATTCATAACGACAGCCAGAGAGCGATGGCAGGACCAAGGCCTTAACTGTCAACAACGACTTTAAACCTAAATACGACCAATTCTCGAACCCAAAGGCACGGAGTAGCTGACGGGTAAGAGTGAGGCTCCCTCAGCTTAAGGGCACGGAGCTCCGCTGGAGGCGGACGGCTGAGCCCCCGGGTCTGCACCTCCGCGTCCACGCCTCTGCTCTGAGGACCACAAAGCCCCTTCGTCTGACCCCGGCCCAGGGAGCAGGTGCCACGGCCACCCTCCAGGCTCCTTTCTCGCTCCATCTGAGTGGCGCCTCGGGCCACTCCCTCCGGCAGCCAGGACGGTGGCGTCCACACCGTAGCAGCCTGTCTCAGTGTCCCAGCCCCTCCACCCCCAACCCCCGCCCATGGAGCACAGGCACAGGTCCGTGTGCCGTTCCCGACTGTCGGCAGAGGCGGGGCCGAGCTGTGGGCAGCGTTATAGTCTGCGGACGGGTCCAGCATGTCCAGGCCTTGACATTCACTCCCTCGCACACACACACGCACCAGAGCAACTCCCAGTCCCGCAAGCCCCTCGCGGTGGGCGCCGCGTCCAGGCAAACCCACTCACTCCTGAATCACATCTGCACTGTCTTGTCTGGGCTCCGACATGCTCAGACGCACAAACACGTGCACTGGAGGCGGCTGCCGACAGGACCCGGCCGTGGCACACGCAGGTCTGCAGCCAGGACAGGCCGTGCCCTCCAGGTCTGTGCCCGTCGCGCTGACACGCGCAGCGACGCCTTCGCCTAAGGACGCATTTCTCAGAGCAGATCCCACTGCGAGCGCCCCATGACTCTGCGTGTGTGTCTGCATGAGACACAGACTCCAGCTACGCGTTTACATCCTTCTCAGCCCCAAGCGAACCTCGAGCCCAGGGGAGCACAAAGCTTCTCCAGAAACAATGTCGACAAAACCCGTTAAAAACCGAAGCCTGACGGTCGGCCGAGGGCAGTCGGCTCCTCCACAGAAGGAACGGAAACGGCCTTCAGCCGTCAGGCAGCCGGAGACACATCAACCAACCTGCGCTGGGCGTGTGCCTGCTGCTCTGCAACTTCCCTATAATGTGAACCAAGAAGTTCTGGGGGGAAGTAGAGAGAAATGGTTTCCCTTATCGAACTGGCAGAGATCACACGCAGTAGCACAGACCTGGTGGGGGTGGACAGTGGCACTGCCCGCGGAGAGCGGCGTGGGCAAGCCCTCCATGGAGGTGCATCTGGCAAGAGCCATCAGGATGGCCAAACAGCCATGGCCGGTGTGGCTCAGTGGATAGAGCGTCAGCCTGTGGACCAGAAGGTCCCGGGTTCAATTCCAGTCAAGGGCACGTACCTGGGTTGCAGGCTCCTCCCTGGCCCGGGCCCTGGTCGGGGCACCTGCAGGAGGCAACCAATCGATGTGTTTCTCTCACATGGATGTTTCTCTGTCTTTCCCTCTCTCTTCCACTCTCCCTAAAATCAATAGGAAAATATCCTCAGGTGAGGATTAAAAAAAAATTGTAATGGCCAAAGCATATACTCCCCGACTAGTGCTCCTGCCCCCGGTGAGTGAGCAGACGTGCGCTGGGCCCGTGTTCCCTGCACCAGCACCACGACACACCTTCACGGCCACCAGGAGCTCTGGCTGAAGGACATGAGGCACCTCCTGACAATGGGGTATTGTGA